ACGTAGATGGTGGTGTAAATTATCTGAAATTCATAGACTGACAGTAAAAGGTGACACAACAAAGTTTACAATGAGACATTTATGAGAAAAGACAAAAGAAAAATAAAGTTCAGATAAATGTTTTAATAGTTTATAAAAGTGACTTATTTCAATATATTTTCGGGTTCTGTTCAGTATCTTAGCTGTTCTTAGGACATCACGCTTCTCGCCACCTGGAGACCCACGAAGTTGTGACTACACCCTTCCAGTATATGGACAGGTTCTTCTATAGCACTTTCTACTATACTGGAGCACTCAAAACGCTTATACTGCATTTTCATAATTACAATGATAAAGTAGAGAAATACAAAAAAAAGGGTACAAAACCCCCCAAATACATAGTATAGAGTACCACGATGCAACGACACAGCCATCACACAACACATGGCCAATACTATTATTTGATCAGGATCTTAAATGACATCTGTTATTCATGGATGTATTCAATATTGTTCGTCTTTTAAGACTCTAGCTCCTGCTATGATTCTTCTTTTTGTCTTGAATAATAATACTTCTTTGGAGCTCTCCTGCCCCTTGCAGGAGGGCATGGAAAATGGCATCGCTTTGGACCTTACGACTTAACATACAAAGCCATGCTAAGGGGAGAATCAGCACTTGTCCATTTATGACATGCTAATGTTTGCACATAGCACATTTAATGTCATTTCTTCAGACAGTTATGGATGCTGTGGTGTTGCAGATGCTGATATCTGGATGCGTTTAAAATAGCATCACTGAAGAGTGAATTATATACTACATTTTTGGTGATATTTCTATTTGTGGACACAAATTATGATTTGTGTTGTAACATTATTATTAATCTGCGTCACAAGTGCCGCCCTGCTGCTGCTCACACCTCTTCCTTTCAATTCTCTACTTAAAATTAAACCAAATTAAATGTTTAACAAAAGTGCAAATGTAATCATCTGGAAAGAAACTGATCCACCTTCTCTCTTGCGCTCTCTTTCAAAGACACATACACACTCATATGTACACACAAAAACACCTTTCTGCAGAGGAATGAGGCTTTGGTATTCATAATAGTGCTTAAAGGATGACACAGGGACAGCCACGACTTTTCTCGTTCCCTGTGTGATGAGTTGGAGGAGGGCTCTCCATCTCCTGAAACTGTCTGTAAAGCAGGAGAACAGATAAAGGGATTAATCATCCTCACACTTTGCTCCTATTCACAGAGGTGATACAGTATCAACCATATATGATGCTGGCTTGAATAATGTAAGAAAAATTCTTGGTCACGAAATCCAATGATGTATCTGTTGTCACAGGTTTTGACACAATTTGTTACCTTTGGTTATAAAATACCATGCCAACATTGGCCCAGTGCCAAAATATGAATACTCAACCCAAGTTGGTAATGGTGCTGTAATACAGTGTTTCCCAGCCTTTAGAGGCACGGTTCATATTTCACATTAGAAAAATCCCGCAGCACACCACTAAAGAAAAATGTCAAAAGCCATACGGATCATTCTTCCACCAAATATAGCAGAACTGGCTCGGTTTGTCCCCAGTATACCTTTGTTGCTTCCTTCTGACCACTACTCATGCTTCATCTGGGTCGAGTTTTCTCCAGGACCAGGTCAGACTGAACACTTTTTCTTTTTAAACATTTATCTATTGCTGTTACGCGCTGCATCGTCTCACAGCATGAATGTTGTCATTTCTTCTTCTGTTTTACTTAGTTGGCAACACATTTATTAGAGCAGGTGGTTGTACTGCCCTCTAGTGGAAGAGAATGTCATTGCTGCCTGTTACGCACGCCGGTGGCTTCGGTGTGCCGTGGAAGATTATCTGGTTCCACCTGATTAGTCCTGGGAAACACTGCTGTAATAAGAGTGACCACTACTTCCTACAGCATCTATGTAAGTATTTTACTTTAATACAAGTTACATCTAATGCAAAATGAACGTTTCTTTTTTTTTTTTTTTGCGTATTTGTCACACTTGAATGTTTCACCTCAAACAAATACACCCTAAATAAATGCATTTTTTAAATGCTGATTTCATTTGTTGAATCAGTGTTTCACTGGGTGAAAAATTCCAATCAGGTTTTGGCAACAATTAAAACAAACGAATCTTTCATATTGCTGTGGAGGAGGTTTGACACAGTCTTCTGTGTAAAATCATCTTCTGATGGCTGGACATTGTCCTCCAGGAGTTTATGGTAGAGAGCACAATTCATGGTTCCATCAGTGACGGCACCACCACATTTAACTGTTGGTATGATGATCTTTATCTGAAATGCTT